GTAGAATTGCATGGCGTGGAACGGTAACCCGGTAGGGACCGGATACCGTGATACGTATGATTGTACAATGGGAATATTGCACGTTGTGTGCCATGTGTGTAGCTTGCTCGTGCGTACGAGTTAAGCGTGATTGTGTTTGTGGATGGGGCTCGTCGAGTTTTCCACGCGTGGGGCTCATTTGTTTCCGGAAAAATCGGGTCAAAGTTGCTGCCGACACATGTGGGGAAGGCTGTTTTCTCCGGTCCGCCTGACCAAGATTCTAGTCCGCCGGACCGGGACTGCCCAACTCACTTCCCGCACCCTTTTGGTCCATCCGTCCATGTTTGGTCCGTCTGAGTGGTCCTGGTCAGCCCCTGACCAACCTTGGTCCGGCTGACCAAGTCCACATTCCTTCTTTTCTTCGTCTTGGTCCGTCCACTGAAGCCCAGTCTGGCTGTGGTCTTGGTCAGCGCCTGACCAGCCTTGGTCCGGCTGACCAAGTCCACATTATTTTTTTTATTTATTTTTTTTTTCTTTTCTTCTTTTTCCTTCTTCTTCATTCCTTCTCGATGCTTCCCGCATGTGACGATTCCCGTGCTTCTCTTCGGCATTGTACCATTCACTTTGGGTAATTTTGTGACGTCTCTATTTAATTATTTGTTTTTAAATAATTAAATATTCCGATTGGGTTTCGGGGTATTACAGCCGCCGAGGAGGGTGTCGCCGGAATCGCGGCCGCGTGTCGCCGGAGTCGCATCCGAGTCTCGCCGGGAAGTCGCGGCCACGTCTCGTCTGGGTCGATGGGCTGGAGAAATGAGAGTGTCGACGGATTACAGTGGGTGTCATGATTTGGAAAGAGATGAAAGTCGACAGTCAGACCGGAAGAGGATCTCGCCGGAGAGGACTATCCGGTCGGAAGGGGGTATCGTCGGAGAAATCGAAGGATGTCGAGCTCGAGACTTAGGGTTTTTACTGAGTTGGGTTTTTAATTTTTGGGAATATGAATGTCGATTTGGGTGGGTTTTTAATTTTTTTTAATTTTCTTTTTCCAGTTTATTTTGTAAACCGACTCGGTTTAATTAGTGATTTCCGGTTTTTAGAATACCCACATGGCATATACATATGGACAATTTTTTTGACGTGTCATACCACATCAGCTACAATTTTAACGGATTTGTATTCTGTTTCACGCCGTCGTTACCCAATATGTATGAGATTGGAATCAATTTTCCTATTTAGTGGAGAATTTGGGAAAATTTGAATTTCAGTGTAGGTTATTGCTAAATTAATAATTCCGGTAGAAAATTAGAATTTTAAGCAAAATTTGTGGGGAATATGGGATTCTCCCTAAATATTATAGGGTTGATGACGTGGTAGATGACTAAAATGATACGTCAATATTAAATATTAATTTTTTTGTTCAGAGTTTTATTTGTTAAATTTTAAAAATATATGATTTTTATTGTTATATATATGAAGTATAATGTTTATTTAGATAAAAAAAGTATATGATTTAAATTAGGATAAGATAAAATTTCTAGGTTTTTCCCTATTGTTATTATTATTATTATTATTATTATTATTATTATTATTATTATTATTGTTAACAGGTCGGGCCCATGAGTTTGTGAATAATGCCGAAGGCATTGATACTGCGAGAGTAGAGAAACGAAAGAGCCGCGCGGAGGCTCTGGTGCCGAGTGCCCTGCTCGGACAAAAAATGCCTACGAATGATCCTTCCTCTGGTAATTCCCCCTTCCTTTTTTCATGTCTACGTTGTCGTCTTTGGTTTGGATCTCTGCTTCTGCAGATGGGGTTCTCGAGTTTCGATTTTTAACCCCAGATGGTGATTCGTGACCGAGTATCCCTTTCTTGATTTTGTCTTCGTTGACCTAAAGGTGTGAAATTTAGGGTTTTTTTGTGTGTCTGGGTTCTGTCAGAGAGTAGATTTTTGCTCATCCGGATAGGTTAAAATTGTTTTTGTCATCTGGGTTTCTGTTTCAGTGCGCTTTAGGTTCTTTTTCTTGCTTTTTAGTGTAGTATTCATGGAAAAGCTTTGGGCTTTCATACTTTCTGTCGTTGTAGAGGTAGTTCTAGAAGTTTTCGTTTGATCCGTTAGTAATGAGATTGATTTCTTGATGAATTTGCAATTTGGTTATCATGTTAGTCTAGGAGTTAATGGTGGTTGAGCGTAATTTTATTGGCTTATGTTACATGTATGCAATTCTTCTAAAGTTATTGTGGATAAGACACTTTCGGTTTGACTAAAGCACGAGTTGTGTTCTCACTGCTAGTGTTCCTTTCTTAGTATTTGGTAGCACTGAAAATCTCCAAACAAACTGTGAATATGACTGACACTTTTGGCCTTTGAAGCTGTGATTTTTCTTATTTGTAATCTGTTTATTCAATTGTAACTTGGTTCTGTTTCCATATGCTGCAGTGGCAGTGAGTTCGAAACATGTATAGTTTGCCTGCTCGGTGAATGCTTTGTTCATTGTTTTCCTTTTCTTTATCTAATTTCTATTATCAGCTTTTACCCTCCACGGTATCTTAAGCTTTTTTGGGATGGTTAGTTTAAATCAGCCAATAGCAAATATGGGGAAATCTCAGTTTACATCTGTCTGATCATGTACATGAAATCATCTTTCGCCTTGTTTTTGGAGTTTGGTATTTCAGGTGTTTCAAATTGCTATGTATTCAAAAGCCGATTACAGGAGTATGCACAAAAGTTTAAGCTTCCAACGCCAGTGTACGAGACTATAAAAGAAGGCCCCTCACATGAACCCTGCTTCAGATCGGCGGTAATAGTGGATGGCATCAGATATGATTCATTGCCCGGATTTTTCAACCGCAAAGCTGCTGAACAGTCAGCTGCTGAGGTTGCACTCTCGGAATTATCAAAATCCAGTGAGCTAAGCGAATGTGTTTCTCAACCCGTTGTGAGTATCTTCTCAACCTCATCTGGACTTATGTTACTAACTGCAGTGAATTATTCATGTGCATTGAAAAAGGAATAAGCTTTAGTGGACGCCCTAATATACATGTATTTAGTGTAGATTTGATATATATATATATTGGCTTTTCTATATGTTTCATCTCGTTTGACTCGGGATCTGCCTCTTGCTATGAGTGACTGCAGCATGAAACAGGCTTATGCAAGAATCTACTTCAAGAGTTTGCTCAGAAGATGAACTACGCCATCCCGTTGTATCAATGCCAAAAGAATGAAGCGTCCGGGGGTACGCCCTTCACATGTACCGTTGAAATCGGAGGCATTAAGTATATAGGGGCTGCAGCAAGAACTAAAAAGGAAGCTGAGCTCAGTGCTGCTAAAACCGCTCTGTTAGCCATTCAGATAGATTCTAACATTAACCTTGGAGACACTCAGCTTACAGTACGTCCATTTCGGAAGAGGACAGCAGAGCAAGCAACCCCCGTTAAGGAAACGGTCAGTGCCCCGAAACCCAAAAAGGGTCGGTACAAAAACAAGTTCAGGAAACCGAAGAACCGTTCTGTCTGCAACAAAAGCAGTGGGAATGATCTGAATCAAAGAGAAGCTGCAGCTACTGAAGGTACCGATAATTGCCAAACCAATCTCTCGGTTGCGTTGAATTCTTCAAGAGAGAGTATCGAGACGCCGTCAAATGTAGGAGTGTCGACATGTGTGGATGGATTTAAGGATTCATTTGGGAGTGTAGAGGCATGATTCTCCAAAGCTATTAGTTGGAGAAATGCCATAGAAATGGCGCCTTCCCTTTGTGTGTGAGAGTGACTGATTAGTAATGAGAGATATGATGTAGTATTGATTTGCAGTTATCGATTTTTCCACTTAAACCAAATTCTATTTAAATTTTAATTGGATTTAGGTTATTTAATAGACTATTTTTAAGAAATATTTTTTATTATTTTATATTTATTCAAGATTTTATTGACTTAATTTTAGAAAAATCATATCAACTCGTTTTTCAAAATTAAATTTGATTATAAGGTGACATAAATTATATCACTATCTGAAACTACTTCTTTCTATGGAAAGGGAACAAGAATTTTAGAACACAACCAACCCGCCTATACACACACACACATACACATGTATACGCATGTATGCATATATGTATATATATATGCATGTGGGTGTCATTCTCACACCTCAGACCAAGTAATTCTGAGACAGTTGTGAAGATTAAGAAATGAGCCAACTTTAATGATCAGACTGAGGAAACCATTGTTAGAACTCAAAAGAAGAAAACTTTTGGTCGGGTGGCGAAAGAAAGAGAAAAAAAAAACTTTCTTTTCTCGTTAGAGACTTCAAAGATCCGTTTTTGTTTTCGAATATATATATACATAGGGGCTAAAAATTGATGCCAATAGACATATTTTATTGGTCTGGACAAAAAGAGCTAATATCACTAATGACCATTTAGCAGAGAAAAAAAAATATTATTCATGAGGAATGAGGAAGAAGAATGTCTGAAACTCTGAATAGATTCATGAAGGAAGAAACAAGAACATGCGAAGCCTCTGATTCTAACAGAGTTTTTAGGAAAACGAAAGGAAATCGTCATGACACATTCATTAAAACGATTTAACGGGTAAAACCATGGGTGACCATTTCGGGATTTTTTTCATTCTCGGTTTGATTATATTTAGGTTTAATTATTTCGATTTTAGAAAAATTATAATTCTGATTCGATTTTTGTTTACAAAAATATTAAACGAAAAATATTAATTGTTCAAAACATTTTTCGTTTTTTCGGTTATTTTTTGTTTGATTTGTTCAGTTCACTTCGATTTTTTATTTTATTTTAGAAAAAATATAATCATTTGGTTTTTATATTGGTTTCAGTTCTACGGTTATATGTTACCTGATTTAGATCAATTTTCAGTTATTTCAATTCTATTATGGTTATGTTTTATCAAGTTTAGATCAATTCAATTATTTGGTTATTAACCAAATTTACCGCCTTGGATAAAATATTTTTTTTTAAAAAGTTATTCTCCTCACAAAAGGAGAAAATTATGCAAACCAGATTTTCCGATGTTGTTGATCATTTTCTGAGTTACAGTTTCCTAGAAATTCAAAATAAAAAAATAAAAAACTTCTTTTATGATGTATGAGACGAATTCTAAATTCAATCTGAATTCTTAAATACTTTTTTATATCTTAATTCTGTATATTGTTTTTTTTTCAGTTTTCAGTTATGATTTGAAATTTGAATGGAAGAGATTTTTGGAGTTTTTAAAATTTAAAAAATAAAAAAAATTACAATCAAGATTTTATAAAATTAGTTTTTCTAAAAATTTGAAAGGTAAGTTTGATGAAAAAATCAATTATGAATTAAAAAACTCGATTTTTTTTTGGATTTACAAAAATCCAAAAATCAAAATTTAAAAACTAAAAACCAAAAATTAAAAACAAAAAACAAAATAAAAAAAAATATTATCTGACAAAGATAAATGGTACCAAAATTTATGAGTGGATTAGATAGATTATCATTACTTGTTTCAAGTCAACATGGTTGGAATTTCTCTTCAAGTGTGCCGTGCTCTGCAAGGCTTGATTATGAATAAATATTCTCTCCGTTTACTAAATAAGAAATAAATAAATAAATTTTGGTTGGAGCTTAATTATTGAATTGTGGAAGACTTTGGGAGATTGGATATATTCTAATGCATGCTACCGGTACTACATATTTATTTAATTTTCAGGACCTACATAATAATTACAACAATGTTAGTTGCTATTTTTTTTTTTTTGTAAATATCAGTTTCTATTGCTAGTTGATGATTTTCTTAAAAATCTATTAGAAATAATTGTGTTGTGAGGAAAATATTTATAGCATGTAAAAAGTTCGAGCTGATATTCAAATTTCATTTCGAGGATTTTAAAAATTTTTGAAATATTTTTTGTTGAAGCATATATTTCTTAACTATATATATATTGATTATTGGATATCCCACCCGTTTTCTTGACAGAGTACAAATGAAAAAAGAGAGAAGGAAATACATGTTCTTGACCCATTGTTGCATGTCCACATCATTTCGTCTTTCTCGAACTAAAGGAGCATTAATGAAAATTGTCGTTAATATACTCACAATTGATCATATATTAAAATTTATGAAGGGCTTACATTTGTATGTAGTTTACACATTTTTTTCCTTCAAATATCATAACATGTATGGGATTAGAAAATCTTCAATACTCCGCAACTTTTGTGTGCAACTTTCCATATAACTCTCTACACCATACATTTAAAATTTTAACATATTATGTCATCAAAATATGAAATGTACTTAATTATTTATTAAATAAAAATATACATTACTGGAACTCAAGTATTGGTGTTCTGAGTGGCAAGTGAACATATAAAATATGGTTTCAACCCAAATTTGATTTCAGCTATGGATATGGGGAGGAGCGTCAATGGTAAATACCAGAACTTTTCTTCGGCTCTTCGAGAGGTTGAACTGAAGGTCCAGTAAATTTTCAAATTATAAAATATATGATTAGAAGATCATAGAATTTCGTTGTTCATAGATGAAATTCCCCGAGTAAAGGTCACCCAAAAGAGCATAGAAGGAGTGGAAGATTTAATGGGAGTTATCTTTGAGGAGTATCTAAATTGGACAATCTTTGAGATGAAGAAATGCTCAAACTTTATGACCAAAGTGATGAAACCATCTTCCACACTCTTTTTCACTGTCTTCCAAGTCTCATCTGAGATTAAAAAAAATAAAAAAAATTACCTTGTTAGAAAAAAATTGGTCAAAGAAACCCTAATTTTTGGATTAGGGTTTACACAAAATTATACCTACTTTTGAGCATTTTTGTGGTATAAATATGAAGATATAACACTTTGTGGTAGATCAGAACTTTTTAAATCTTGAAGGATTTTTTTTTCTTTTGTGTATAAAAAAAGTAAATTTATATATAATTTACCAATTATAGAAATGACAGATTTATGATAAATTAGGCTTACCAACATTCATCTCCAATAAACAATAAACTTTCTGATCCTTCCAACCCTCACAATTCTTGTGCAACTCTTGGAGACCATAAGCACTAATGGCCATCAAAATGATTACGAGCAAAATATAATTCATATTTTGCTTCCTTGATCTTTTTTCCATGATTATTTGAGCTTCTAATTTACTATTTTGTTTTTTATAAATATTCTTTTTCGTTTTTTTTTTCCTTGTGAAACATAGAAATGGCACATATGCGATCCTCTTATATAGTGTGAGATGGATCATGGACCGACGGTCTCGACGTGATCCATACGCCTAGACTATGAATATTAAAATGGGCATATTTATTGAAATATTTTAAAAAACCCTTATAGGATATGGTTTGGAAGTTGAACTTGACTTATTTAATGTGTGTTCAAAGTCTATGCCTGAAATTATGAAATACGTTTTGACTTACAAGACCACATAAATTTGGCATGTTCTCAAAAACGTTTTATTCTTCTATATTTATCGATTTTTATATATATCCTTATGTGTTGATTATTTTTGGTTTTATATAATTTTTTATGTTATTATAGACATATATATATATATTTATATAATTATTTTGTTTAAACGATTTATATAAATTTTTTTTGTCGACTTGTTCCATAGGATAATACGAACATGAATAACAAATAATTTAAATAATAATATCTAAAAAAATTAGATTGCACCTGTACCTATTGTCGATTATAACGTTCAAACCCAACGGTTATATATCATTTTAAAATCTATAATTTTACATCTTCCAAAAAAAAAATATATATATAAAAGGGAAAATTCTTCTGGGAAAGGGGCCATGGCGAGGATACATAGTACTGAGAGAATTTTGTAAATATACAATAAATCTAGGGGTTCCCTTTTGTAATTTCTATAATCTCGTCTTCGCTCTCCGTTTCTGGAAAAAATTTTGGGTAATGCTTCGAAGCAGAGCTAAGTAATCAAATTCAATCAAGGTCTTCAACAAGGTTCTTCTGCAATTGCTTGTGCGATTCGAACCGTTTTACGAGGAAGGAATATGGGATCTTGTTTCGTCTGAGAATCTTTATGCGACAACTTCCGAGGAAACCCCTCTCCCCCGGCTATCGAATCGTCAACTTGGGGATCTTGACGCAGATCCGAAATGGAATCTACTGTTGTCGGAACTCTTGCAAAATCTTCTGCGAGTTCTGATGGAACAGCGTCGAACTCGGTACGCTTTCTGTTTCTTTGCCCCCTTTTTTCTGGGATGCGGACAAAGTGTTGTGACTGCGTGAAAATGGGACGAGGGATTTGGGTTTATGATCCCACTGTTGGAATTCCTTTGGAAAATCTGCCCGAGTGATACCGCAAACGTGATGGTGTTGCTTGCTTCTCATGGAGTAGTTTCTGAATTTCTTTGGTCGTTCTTGGTTGTAATTGATATTTTCCTGATCTTCTGGAAAGTTCACTGAATGCAAGAGAATCTTGATGTCTGGAAAGTGTTATGTCTTTTGGTTAGCTTAGAGTATACTGTGTTTCTGTAGACGACAGATCATTGGTGTATACTCTCTGGAATCATGTAGACCCTTTTGTCCAATTTCATTTTCATGTTCTAGATTGTTGAAGCTGTATAGTTTTGATTGACCCCAACTTCAGAGTTATCTCTTACCTGCACTGCACATTAAGAGTTTTCATTCATTTTGGGTATTTGTTGTTGCAGCCTGAGATATCTGTTCTTTTAGGTGCTATTGAGAACTCTGCGTCTACTCCTCAGATTGCCTATGGCCTTTTGAAGAGTCTGTTACACTTGTTACGAGTTTCACGTGGGAATATTCTTTCTTCGTTTAAGACATTAAATGGATCTTCTCGTGTGCTCGGAGTAGCTTGCATTCAAGCTCGGGAACTTAGAAGGTCATGTAGTCTTGACCCTTCGGTAGAGAGCAGTGACAGCAAAGTTGCTGTTGTTTCACCTCATGAGAAGTCTGATTCAAGTCAGGTGGAAGAAAGTTGGTTCAAATGCATGGAAACTTGCTTGTGGATTTTCACAGAATTTTTTGCATCGTCAGAAGATGCAAAATTATCTGTTTTGCATTCGTCTTTTTGCATTGATTGTCTGTTCGAACTATTTTGGGAAAAATCCCTCAGAAGCCATGTGCTACAACTCATTATTAATCTCCTGAAGGTACTTCTTTCAAGTTAGTGCTTATTCGCTTCTACTGATTTTTAATCTGTTAAGGAACAAAGTTTTTCTTGTTTCAACCTTTCAGATCACGCCGCTGTGTGACGAAGATCAGAGAGTGAAATTACAAGTATGCTCGAAATATTTGGAAACCTTTACTCAAGTAAAGGAAAGAGAAATGGACTTTGTGGAATTATCTGTTGATCTATTGAATGGTATGACAGATTTGATCAAGACTGATCCTGTGGTATGAATCTGCTATCTTACTGAATACTTCTAAATTCTGTGCAGAGCTATTTACTCACTATGTTCTAGTTCCTAATCTTTATTTCTTAACTCTCTCTAACGTAGTCTTGTTGTTTTTAACTTGCTCGCTCAGTATTACCAAGCCTTATTTCGTGAAGGGGAATGTTTTTTACACGTTGTGTCTCTGTTGAACGGTAATCTTGATGAGGACAATGGAGAGAAGTTGGTTTTAAATGTTCTACAAACTCTCAATTGTCTGATTGCAAATAGCGATGCCTCAAAGGTGATTCCTTTTTGCTTTTGCTCTTTGCTACAATAAGATATATTAAAAAGGACTTGTTTCTTTACTGTTTTTGAAAGATGCTTGAAAAAAGACAATCTTTAAGTTTAGTGAGATCCTGAATTGATCATGTACATGCTGCTTCCCATTGTACATTTTCAGGTTGCATTTAGAGCCCTTGCTGGCAAGGGTTATCAGACGCTGCAGAGTTTATTGTTGGATTTCTGCCAATGGAAACCTAGCCAGAGGCTCTTAGATGCACTACTTGATATGCTTGTTGATGGAAAGTTCGATGATAGAGGATGCGCTCTCATAAAGGTGATGTGGTTTCCTTGATAACCAACTAATTTTCCTCTCTTTATTGTTATGGTACTTTATATCTAATTCGTCGTGGCTAATTTTGATTCTTCTTTGATCATGTCTAATGTCGTGTTTCCCACTCAGAATGAAGACGTTATCATACTTTATCTAAGTGTGCTCCAGAAGGTTGGTTCTGTTTTGGTTGTTGGATTTCCCTTTCCCATGTTCTTGTTTGGTTTTGGGCTATTCTCTTACTTTGAAGTTGTATGATTTTGCAGAGCAGCGAGTCTTTGCAGTACCACGGGCTAACTGATAACAATAAGATTTTTCCATGAGTTGTAAGCTCTATTAACTGTTCTTTCCCTCATTTTCTTATCTCTACTTTCTCCTAATGATGATGCTGTAAGGATGGTGAGAGCTTTTGTGGTCTTGAGCCTGTGAATCACCTATCAATCAGGAATGCTAAACTTCCTTCTAGATTGGTTTTCAGGGGAAGTTGATGATAATGTCATCTTGAAAATAGCACAACTAATCCAGACAATTGGAGGACACAGTATATCCGGAAAGGATATTCGAAAGATCTTTGCCCTTCTTCGAAGTGAGAGAGTGGGGAATAGACAAAGATACCGCTCTCTGTTATTGGCGTGCTTACTGTCAATGCTAAATGAAAAGGGGCCAACTGCTTTTTTTGATATGAATGGGATTGATTCTGTAAGTGTTAGTTTCTGTAGAATCTATTTTACCCCCTGTTGAGATAGAGTACTAGTTCATCTTGTGTTTTAAGCTTCTTCCAGAAAATTAGTTTCATTTTCAGTGTTAATTTTGAGACTGTTATATTACCTAACTGCATTTGGATATGCCGTAAAATGAAGAGTAGAAGTTTGAGGTATCTCGGGGTAAGGGTAATGGGCATATGCTTCATGGTTTAGAAACCAAGAAAGGAGAGTACTCATGTAGAAGATAGTGGTGCTAGCATGTGTACCACTTTTCTCGGTATTCAGAGAAGTGTTTATTCACTGGTACTAACCTTTATGTAAATTCTTTTTCTTTTGCAGGGTATTGTAATCAGAACACCTGTTCATTGGCCTGTGAATAAGGGGTTTTCCTTTTGCTGTTGGCTTAGGGTAGAAAGCTTCCGTGGAGGTGGGAAGATGGGTATCTTTAGTTTTCTGTCAAAAAATGGAAAGGGATGCTTTGCTGCGATTGGGAGGGATGGTTTGTCTTATGTTGTAAGATGAATTTCATGTGATTTCTTCTGCTTTTTTTTTCCTTCTTTCTCCATGAGCTTTTCGCCCTTTTTTTTCCTGATCACATTTCTTTCTTTTGGCAGTCACTGAATCTGAAACGGCAATGTGTAGATGTGCATGCCAATTTGGTCAGTAGAAAATGGCATTTTGTTTGTGTTTCTCATAGTATTGGAAGAGCTTTTTGGGGTGGTAGCCTCCTGAGGTGTTACGTTGATGGTGATCTTGTATCGTCTGAAAGATGCAGGTGATTCCACATATGCTGTCCTATATGAATTTTCGAAGGGCTTAATTTAATATCCTTAAGATGCTATCTAGGATATACAGGTTGTGATGCATAATGTTTCGCTGCTCTTGGGTGCTTCCTATTTTTCTTTCATCTGCCCTGACACCTTATTGATTGTATATATATTTGTTTTGATGTTTCAGCTATCCGAAAGTTAATGATGTTCTTACTAGCTGCTTGATTGGTACAAGACTTGCACTTCCACATATCCAAGATAACGATGGTCTTGAATTCATTCGAGATTCACTTCCATTTTTTGGTCAGATTGGTCCCATTTACTTGTTTAATGATGCCTTGTCTTCCGAGCAAGTCCAGGTCATATTTTCACTGGGACCAAGTTATATGTATGCTTTCATGGAGAATGAGATGAATGGCCCCTTTTCTGATAATCAGCGCCCTAGTGGAGTTCTTGATGGGCTTGCATCCAAGGTTTCCTTTGGACTTAATGCGCAGGTCATATTCCTTCTTGAGCTGTTTGTGTTGCTCGTTTTTGGCATTTTGCTCTAAGAAGTGTCTTTTCCCACTTTTAGGCGAGTGATGGTAGGAAACTGTTCAACGTGTCACGGATGTTGGATCATTTACAAGATAGGAACATGTTTGAGGCAAGTATTATGGTTGGTACACAGTTATGCTTGCGGCGCTTGCTCCAGCAGATTATTTACTGTGTTGGAGGGATATCTGTGTTCTTTCCGTTGATTACTCAATCTGATATATGTGAAAGTGAGGCTGATGGACATGTAGAGCACATTTCAGTTATGCATGCTACAAAAGAGCGTATGACTGCTGAAGTAATTGAACTTATCGCTTCTGTCTTGGATGACAATCCAGCAAATCAGCAACAGATGCATTTCCTATCTGGATTCTCCATCCTAGGCTTCTTGTTACAGTCTATTCAACCAAAGCAACTGAATTTCGAAACTCTTTCATCCCTTAAGCACCTATTCAATGTTATCTCAAGCTGCGGTATGCTTTGCTAAATCTTCATTTCCCTTATTCAATAGTTTATTTTAATCAGTCTAGATTTCATATTTGATCTGCATATAGTTTTCTTATTTGTAGCGGCATTTCCAAAACCATTGTTTGTTTTTAGCGTTTTGTTTTCTTTACAAAGGGTTTAAATTCTTCATATTAAGATTTCTACAGCTAGTATATCCAACTGTGTTTAGAATTTAGGTGGTTTAATGTTGAAATGGTTCATGTTTTCCTTTTCAAGGGTTTGCGGAGCTGCTTGTGGAAGATGCTATATCTAGTATTTTCCTCAATCCCCACATCTGGTTATATGCATCCTATAACGTTCAACGTGAGCTCTACATGTTTCTCATCCAACAACTTGATAATGATCCACGACTTCTGAGAAGTCTTTGTCGACTCCCAAGAGTTATTTACATGATATGTAACTTCTATTGGGATGTTGAAAAACACGGTTCTGCAAAAGGAATCAAGCCTCTACAGCATCCAACAACAAGAAAAACTCTTGCAGAAAGACCAAGTCGAGAAGAAATACATAAAATTCGTCTTCTTTTGCTGAGCATAGGTGAAATGAGTCTGAGGCATGTCGTCCACTGTAAAATTGCAATGCTTTTCATCCTCGACATTTTTTTCCTTTACCGGAGTAGCTTAAACTAAAAGTAGTATGGCAGTTTGTTGTTCCTTGCTTTCAAGTATTTATTTTCAGTTTTTATTCATTGCTTTCCTGTGTTTTTCAGACAGGATATTATAGCAGCAGATGTAAAAGCTTTGATGGCATTTTTCGAGACATGTCAGGATGTAGCATGCGTTGAAGATGTTCTTCACATGGTTATCCGTTCCATCTCCCAAACATCAATCCTTGCTTCTTTTCTTGAACAAGTCAATCTGATCTGTGGATGTCACATATTTGTCAATCTTCTCCAGAGGTAAGTTTTAGTTTATTTTACCAGCTATATTTTGAAGCCCCTTGATTGACACATGTAATTATAAGGTTATGAGATTTTCACCATTTCAGCCAACTTCTTGCGTTCGTGAAAGCCATTATATGTTTATCTTACTTAACTTTTAAAAGTGGGTTGTTATACAAGAAAGTTTTAAGTCAAAAGCATTTGTAGTTGATAGGAATTGGTACTCTGTTATGTAAGTTATTGAAAAGATCGTAAAGCCACTGAATAAGGCAGCTTATTACCGTGCTAAAGGCTCAGACACTATTTTTCTATCTTTATCCCTTCTCTTGCAATAATTTAATGTTCACTAATCTGTTGTGTAGGTTATTGAAAATATAGTAAATCCACTAGAGAAGCCAGCTTATTACTGTGCCGAAGGCTCAGAAACCATTTGTCTATTTTTATCCCTTTTCTTACAATGACCCAATGTTCACTAATCTAATCTGTATGGTTTTGATGACCTAAACAAACTGTAGACTATTTTGCCTAAACCGTCTGACATTTCTCTCACTCTTTCGTGAT